TGAACATGTGTGTGTGGATGTGTTTTGGAAAGGGGTGGGGAGCATCCTACCACTCAGCTGCCTCTCTTGATTTGCTCAAATTTCATTTCCATTTGCTAGAGCGACATCTGCACATTTTTCTGTCCTGCCACGTTTAATGCACATCAGTTCAGCCCTAACCCTCTGTTGAGGTCAACCATCCCCCACCTCCAGGCATCCCAGGGGAAGTTAGAGCTAAGGATATACAATACTCTAAATGGAATATTGAAGATCCCCATCTGTCTGGCAGTCCCGATCAATAAATGTGAATCTTCCCTTCCTACTTCTGTACAAGAGACACGTCACCACCTGGTTTTAAAACAAGTGTGAGATGTGCGTTTATAATGGTTACTGAGTCCAGGCACCCAGCTGTCACAGTGCTGAGCCAGGAAAAGGATTATGCTCTTGATCACACTATTTTGTTACTAAATGGTTCTTTTAAATTCCCTTCTCCCCTTTCCCTAAAGAAAAAAATGTACCAGTGTCTGAAACTGTAGATACCTTTCTCATACTTTTATTTCACCTGTTGAATGACTCTTCTGGAGTTTTTGTTCAAGCAGTAAAGCCTAGGTATTGCCATTCTAGGGTGTCTTATTCAGCTTCCGTCAAATTACCAGGCTGAACGAGGAGACCAGTTTGTGTTGACTTGACAAAGCACTTAAGGAAAGCAGCCAGGCCCAAGACTTCAGATCCAGCCTGTTGTTTGTATTGAGACAGTTATTCCTTAAGGCCCAAAGTCTAAAAACATCCTGCACAAATCTTCAACTCTTTACCAACCAACCATACATAGTAACAAAAATTCTGGGCTGTCTGATATGCTTCTCACATCTGGATGGGGACATCCCTAGAGACTCAGTTAAAATACAGGTGGTACCAGTTCAGCCTCTGTCACCTCTTCACCAGACCAACAAAACTGGATGTAGCAAAGCCAACCACCACTATCAAGTACCAGATTTCTCTGCATGGGTTGTTTGTTTCAACTCAGTGTGATCCCAGCTCCTGCCCTACCCCTCTACATTGGCTCAGATGAAGGCATTTTGGCTGCTCAGCTGGAGTAGGGCCAGGTGGTGTATGTGAGGCTTCCTGAAAGAAAGGACAACTGAGGGAGATAGAGAGGTTGTGTGGTGGGGAGGGTGCAAAGTATTTTAAGGTAGGATTGCTCTAACCTGAGTGAATGGTGTAACCAAAAATCACCACTGTTCTGCGTTAATGCTGAGTCAGGCTGATCATGTAGGACAGAGGAGAACTGCTCTTTAGGGTTTCTAAGTCAGGGGTGGGCAATGTCCAACTGCAAAATCATTTGGTTTGGCCCTGCCAAGGCAACCACACTTCCAGCCATCACATTGTTGTTGTTGTTGTTGGTAAGTGCCGTTGAGTTGGTTCCGATTCATAGTGGCCCTGTATAGAGTTTCCCAGGAGCAGCTGGTGAGTTTGAACCGCCGACTTTATGGTTTGCAGTCCAGGGCTGGTCCTACAGCACCACATCAGGAGTGAGGTAATTAAATGTTTGACCAAATATAGCAGGTTAACTTGATACTTTTGTAATGGCCCATGAATAATGTTATAAATTTTGGTGGAAAAAAGGCTTCCAGATCTTGCTGTTAAGTCTTTATGGAAGCAAACAGCCTCATCTTTCTCCAGTGGAGTAACTGGTGAGTTTGAACAGCCAATCTTACGGTTAGCAACATAATGCTTAACCCACTACAACACCAGGGCTCCTAAATGGGAGTTATTGTTATGTGCTACCAAGTCAGTTCTGACTCATAAAGACCCTGTTTCCTAGGAGTGTCTGGAGGGTTTGAACCACCTACCTTTCAGTTACCAACACCACATCAGGACTCCAAATGATGGTAGAGACATTGCATTTGTTTTTGAAGAATGGCTTGACTGATAGCTTTGGGATCATT